GTTGAGTAAAGTTGAATAAAGTTGGAATTTAAAATAACGTGAACTTGAATAAAGTTGAGTAAAGTTGAATAAAGTTGGAATTTAAAATAACGTGAACTTGAATAAAGTTCTGGTTGTTCTTTTGGAGTATAACTTGAGTGTAGTTTTTGAGTTGAATTTGAGTTATAACTTGAATAAAGTTGAATAAAATTGAATAAAGTTGAAACTTAAAAGAACGTGAACTTGAATAAAGTTGAAACTTGAGTTGTCTTTTTTTGAGTTTTTTTGACAAAAGAACATGCCCGTTGTAACTTGAGTTTAAACTTTTTCTGAGTTTTGTTGCAAAAGAACAAATTTTTTTATATGTACTCCATGAATAATTTGCTACCTGTTTTTTTTTTTTCTTTTTATATGTGCTCTACTATTTTTCTAAAAAAAAAAAACTAAACTCAACTTTTAAGAGAATAATGAATAAGTACAACTAAATGCTATGAGAAATGTTAGATTTTCATATAAAAAATGTACTACTAGTTTTGATTAAAAAAAAAAAAAACCCATCCAATTCAAGATATTGGTGGCGAATAATGATTGATCAGATATTATTGATCAATGCATTAATTAATTTAATGGCCGCCGCCAATTTTTTACAAAATATAAAGTTCTGAGATTTATTGAAAGAGGTAGCTAGAAACCGACGACCTCATCTAAATTCTAAAAAAAGCTAAAATGATAGGAAGAATATTAGAGCTTGTTCTTTTTTGAGTGAAAAACTCAAAAAAATGTAATTTGAGTTATAATTTTATTTGAGTTCACGTTCTTTTAAATTTAAACTCGAGTTTAGGACTAAAACTCGAGTTCAAATTTTCCTTTCAACTCGAGTTTAGAAACTCGAACTCAAATTAATGAATAGTATTTTTTCTATTATTAAAAATGCTATAACTTTTTTGTTTTAATTCTGATTGAGATGATTTTTTTTCTATGCGTTAACAACGAAAAGATGAATAAAACCCGACCCATATACCCTATTAAAATTTTCATCAACATTGAGTTTTTATTAAAATACTATCTAAATACAAATTCAAGTTTTGACTCACTCAAACACAAACTCAAAAAGATTTTTATCTCAAACCATAACTCAAATGTACACAACTAAACACAAACTCAAGTTACAAGTTCAAGTCAAGTTATAACTCAAATTCAACTCAAGAATTATACTCAAGTTAAACTCCAAAAGAATAAGCCATTCATTTTTTGATTGTTTAGTAGATGGGGATGAAAAAGAAAAAAAAAAAAAGAAAAGGATATCTGTACAGTTATTATTTTATTCGTCTATTTATATTATATTATTTTGCTTTTAAAAATTAGGAATAAAAGTGATTTATGTTATTATTAATTGGTTTATTACTTCAAAATTCAATACACATTAGAGGGATTAAAATCATAAGACCGACCGCATCTTTTATGCTCTGTTTGGTAAGAAGGAAAGAAAATGGGAGAGAAAGGAAAACTATAATGCATAGAAAATTAGAAGGATAGAAAAGATTTTGATTTTCTCTTGACTTGTTTGGTATGATAGGAAAGAAAGAAAATGAATCTACCTTCTCTTATTTGGTATTAGAAGTGAAACTAAAGGGATGGAAAAATTCTTATTGGTGTAATTACTTTTTTACCTAAATATTTTTTATTAATATTCTTTTCTAATAAAAGTATAAATAATACAGTATTTAACATCAAATTAACTCAAAAAATTCATGTAACTTAACCATATATTCTATCTATATTATGTATATATATACACACACATACATATATAAAGGTGCAAAAACATAGGTGGCGTTTGGAATTCGTTCCAAAATGATTTTGTTTTCTGTATGAAAATGAAAATAAAAACGTTTTCATTTCTATTTTGGAATCATTTCTGAAAATGCGTTTGATAGTTTTATTCTAAGATTATTTTCAGTTTTAAAAAACTGAAATTGCGTTTGGCGGTTTAATTTTTAAAAACATGAAATAATATTTTAAATAATAATATATTAAATAAGTAATAATTGAATCTCAAATAAAAATACTAATAATTAAAATAATAAATTAAATTACATTACAAATAAATAATAAATAATTTAAAAAAGTTTACTTCGTATCCAATCTTAAATAGCATAAATGCAGGAAAATTATAATCCAATACACTCATATCTTGTATCCAAAAAAATGCCGTCAGAACAATGTGAAACCTGTTTCTCCATTTCCCAAATACTTTCAAACATTTCCCAAATATTTTGGCTAAACTCCTTCTCCCGCACGCATTAGACTGCATCAAAGTGTCCTGGTGTGCTAAGTGGAGAGAAAGCCCATTGCCCATTTATCTCTTCTTTCTGAAAAAAAAAAAAAACAGCGCCAATTTTGGAGCCAAAATGAGGACAATTTAATAATTTAAGTAGTTATACACATTTTCCTTCTTAAAATCCTCCCACTTTTGGAGGGATTAAAAATGGTGGGACCCACCAATTATATTTTCCTTTCAATTTTCTTTTCCTTCCCAATTTCCTTTCTACCAAACAAGTTAATTTACTAATTTCCATCCTAAAATCCCTCCAACATTTTCTTTCCTTCCACTTTTCATTCATACCAAACATAGTGTTTATCCTATCAATTATCAAACATAGTGTTAAACTTTATACATAAACATTGTTCATAATTGCTTAGATGGCTGCAGCCTGCAAGAGAACAAGAAAAAAGAGAAAAGAAACAGGAAAAAAAGAATAGTACATTGCATTCATTGTGTGGAAAATAAAATGTATTATGTATTGATTACCGTCAATCAATTCTAAGATTTTCAATTGAAATCAACTGTTTGAAACTATATACAATTCACTAGTCATGTGAGAAAAATAGTGTTAGAGATTCGGTAATACTCAACTAGAAGGTGGACCCTATAATAAATAACACTCTATCTTATAAGAGTAATTATATTTACACTAATTCATAATATATATTTATTATAATTTTACTCTTCATTAAAATTATATTACATACCGCCACATTAATTATAAATGGAAATAATATTTTTCAAAAAAAAAAAGAACATACATCTAGATTAACTATAATTAAAAAGTATTTTTCAAAGGAATAAAAAAACATACCCCCACTTTTGTTTTATACTAAACCAATTTCGATCTGAAAACAAAAAACAAAGAACAAGTATTCATTAGTTTGCCTGTTAGCAATATAATTAACCAAAACAGTTAAACGAGCAACATTGAGAGGATCAAACCAAACCCGGAGAGTTGTTTTTGTGCTTTCTTATTCACAGAAGACAAAGAAAGAGAATTGATAAATAAAGGTAAAGAGAATTGCATTAATTTTAAAAAATATATAATATTAATAGTTGAAAGAGATTATACTATTTTATAAATTAAATTAAATAAAAATTAGGTGGGGTATAAAAGGGTTAAATTAAGTATTATGAAAATTATCTATAAAAGGATAGATTTTTCAAATCTTTATTAGATTAATATTAATTAATAGGAATATCTATAAATTTTTAGAGTGTAAATATAACTATTTTTTTATAATTATGACACTTAGCAATTGAAATTGGTGGCAATCCAAACATTTTTAATTTTGAAATGTCCGTGGAGGCTTTTTTTTCTTTTTTTTTTTTGAGTTAGAGTGTGTTTAGTTAGAGGGAGAAATAAAGGGATTTTTATAAAAATTAAAGGATATTAAGCTCAACTCACCTTAGTAAAACCGGCTTGCTAGGGGAGAATTGCCGGGATTCTAATACGTCCTTTCACGCACAGCGTAAACCATACTAAACCGTTACAAATAAGTCGATATTAAGAGACTCAACAATATAAAACTTTCATCATCTTGACCCACAAAATTAAATCCTTACATTTATGGGAGAATTCATAAAATCCATTAATTTTTATATCAAAAAGACTATTTTATCCTAAAAATAAACTATTAATAAATAATTTAAATAAATAATATAATAATTTTATAATTAATTTTCTTCCATCATTTTAATTCTCTCTTATTAAATAATATAAAGGATTATTAATACTTTTTCTCTTTCTTACTCTCCATCCCTATAACTCTTATCATTCATACTCTCCGTCACTCTAACCAAAACAACCCTAAAGGTTTTTTTTTTTTCTTTTTTGTTTTTGTTTTTGTTTTGTTTTTTGAGTTAATGAGGCTGCAAGGCCGCAAATCATCCAGGAACAGAATTGTGGGCCCACGCGCGTTGAAATGGCATGGGGACCCACCCACGAGATACAAAGTAGTACAGGCTTGATGATCGTCTTGCACTTTCTCTAACCAGAGAATTATTTACAATATCATTAACAAAAACAAAGCTACGTTTTTTGAAAGCAAAAGCCCACTCTTTAATCTGCATCTCTGTACCTAATCAACTCCATTTTTCTCTCCATCTTCCTCACTCCCCAGATCACCGGCCTTTCCTAATATTACCTTTTCACCCCACAAAAATCAATACTTTGGGAACTTGGACCTCTTTCTCTCTCTGTTTCTAATCTCTCTTTTGTTTCTGAATCTGCTTTGAATCATCCCTCTCTGAGTAAGCATTTCTGCTCCTTTTCTTTTTTCTGTTTCTGGGTGTTTTTTTCTCTTGTCAAACCCATTTGTCGGATTCTCAAAACAACTCTTCTAAGGTAAGCATCTGATTATTAAAATCTCGATTGTTTTGTGTTTCCCCTAATCTTCTTGGACAGTTCAGATCCGAACATTTTGGATTTTTTTTTTTTTTGGGCTGTGAAAGATTAGTCCTTTTGTGCTTGAGTTTATTTAGAAGTTATATTTACTTACTAAGGTATTTGCCCTTTTCTTATTTCATTCTTGTTTTGCCTTTTCTTCAATGAATTAACCAGTTTTCAGCTTCTTCTCCGTAACTGTGTCCCAAAAGTTGAAGCTTTACTCAACCCTTTTCTCTATTTCCGTTGTAGAGTACCAAATTTCTGTAATTTATTCATTCATTTTTACTTGGAACCCATTTTTTTTTTTTTCATTTCAGAAGAAAAGGGATTGATAAAAATGTTAATTATATGTTTATCGAGAAACCACTCTTCTGCTCTGCTAGGAAACCTCCTTGTTTGTTTCTAGATTTTTTATTTTCAGAAGATTGGTGGGCTTTTCTTTGCTTTTAAGCTATTTTTGTCTTCTCAGCTGATTCAGAAATATAAAAAAAAGGTGTGTGAGAGAGAGAGAGAGAGAGAGAGGAGAAAACTAGGATAAAATATTTATTTGGTAACTACTTACTTGTGAAGGACTATGAGGAAATATGTGAATTCCCACTCAGGAAGGGCGTTTGGTGATAGAATATGGATTATTCCATTCTTTGCTAGCTTGCTCATATTCATTACATTGTTTATGACGGCCATGTTTGGGCTGTTTAGCTCTCCCAGTGGTGGAGAGCAATTGCCATTTGACATTATCTCGTTCTCGAAGTCAGAGGACTCAAGTGGGTATTTTGTCGAAGCGGATTTGAAAAGATCATTGGAGAGGAATGGGGCTTCGGAAATGGGGTTGCCTAGACTAGCATATCTTATTTCAGGTACAAAGGGTGATAGTCATAGAATGATGAGAACCTTGCAGGCTGTATATCATCCTAGAAATCAGTATGTACTGCATTTGGATCTTGAGGCTCCGCCTCGTGAAAGGTTGGAATTGGCGGCTTCAGTGAAGGCTGATCCAACATTCCGTGAAGTGGACAACGTGCGGGTCATGGCTCAATCGAACTTAGTAACTTACAAAGGTCCTACTATGATTGCTTGTACACTGCAAGCGATTTCTATTCTGTTGAAGGAGAGCTCGGAATGGGACTGGTTTATAAACCTCAGTGCCTCAGATTATCCTTTGGTGACACAAGATGGTTAGTATCAAATATTGCCGTTTTTCTTAGTTATAATATTAATACACTCAAGGTTGTTGATGCGTGTAACGTTTGCTATCTTGCTTTTTAGAGAGATTGACACATGACTCAAATGAGGTTTATCTATCACTTGGGTTTTTTTTTTTTTTTTTTTTTTTTTTTTTTTTTTTTTTTTTTTTTTTTTTTTTTTTTTTTTTTTAATTAAATACTCCTACCTTCTCTGAAAAAGATAGTTATTGTCCGTTGTATTCGAAATAATTTTGTAAATTGTCAAGGATTTTGCTTCCGGCTGTTATATTGGTGAAGCATTTCGTATCAGTTAGCATTCATAGAGCTAAATAGTGGTTGTGATCATTGTAAAATGTGAATAGCAATTATTGTCGATGTTTTAATTGTCAGAAGTTATGATCAAGGCCTGTTAATTGGTGTGAAATCAGCTGAATCTTGAGATTATTGTGTTGGATATTTTCAAAAAAACCTTTTGCCGTTTCAGTTTAGTTTTGTCATACAGAGATTGGAGAAGTACATATTGTCTAGGATATGGCTTTGGCCCTTGAGAATAAGAACTAGGTCAGTGGAGTGGATCCTAATTTGAGCATTGTTAAGGACGTTTATTGGTTATTATGTCTTCCTTTGATGGTCTGATAACAACTTATTTAAGTTAGCGTCTTGCATTTAATTTCCACCTATGTAAATAATCCTTATTCGAGTCATTTATTTCGTCGCATTCTTTGCTATACGGCAGAATAGAAGAGTTGGAACAACCGGTGCAGAAACACCGTTGTGTTTTTCTAATTTAAACGATGCAACAGGAAGGTGCACTATATCATAGATGCTTGTAGGGAGATATCTTCCTAGTTTTGAGTGCGAAAGAGAAGCTTGAGAAATAGGCAAAGATTTTTAATGTTTTTTATTTGGATTTCGGACGTAAAACCTAATCTATTTCTCATTCTGCAGATTTGCTTTATGTTTTCTCCAATTTGTCCAGAAATCTCAACTTCATTGAACATATGCAGATTACTGGGTGGAAACTGTAAGTGAAATGCACTAGCAGTTTGCAAGTCTCTGATAGGCTTTTATCTATATTTGTTCTTTCTAGTTAATAATTATTTGTTATCTTTTATGCCATATCTATTTCCTTTCCAGGAACCAGAGAGCCAAACCGATCATAATTGATCCCGGCCTGTACTTATCCAAAAAGTCTGACATTGCATGGACCACTCAACGCCGCTCACTTCCCACATCATTTAAGTTATTTACTGGTAAGGCAATTCCATGCACATTCTAATGAATGCATTTTCCATTGTTGTAACAAATTTGGAATTTGGTGAATCAATTTTTGTTTTCTTGTTCTTTTTCGTGCAGGTTCAGCGTGGGTAATGCTAACGCGACAGTTCGTGGAATATTGTATATGGGGATGGGATAACCTGCCAAGAACTATTCTCATGTACTACACAAACTTTATATCCTCTCCTGAAGGCTATTTCCACACTGTGATTTGCAACACTCAGGAATTTCGTCACACCGCAATAAGCCACGATCTCCACTTCATTGCTTGGGACAATCCTCCAAAGCAGCATCCCATCTCATTGTCAATGAAGGACTTTGACAAAATGGTTAAAAGCAAAGCCCCATTTGCTAGAAAATTTGCAAAGGATGATCCTGTCTTGGACAAAATCGACAGAGAGCTTCTTGGTAGAACAAACCGTTTTGCTCCTGGAGCGTGGTGTGTTGGGAGCTCCGCAAATGGGGCTGACCCGTGTTCTGTCCGGGGCAATGATTCAGTTTTCAGTCCAGGTCCCCGTGCCGAGAGGTTGCAAGAGCTGTTTCAGACTCTCTTGTCTGAAGAATTTCGGAAGAAGCAATGCGCATGAATCAATAGAAGGTCATTAGTATGATACCCTCAAGTGTACATGAAGTGTATTCATCATAGATTATATACAACATTTTGTTGTAAAATGGCAGAATTTTGGTTCCAACATAATGACAGAAACATGCCAGTTATAAAAGCATAACATCATCCACTGTACACCTTAATTTTAAAGTGCATGATCCGGTTTTTTGGTTATTTAGTATAGCATCTTATTGAAGCTGATCAGAGCTTCTGAGTAGGTCCCTGTGATTATTCTCTGTTAGTAGAGGTCAGTTTCATGTACTTCTCAACTATCATCTCGGGTGAATAATCAGTGAAGTAGCCCTTCTCAACATCCAACCCTTCTTGGGCAGCTAGCACCTCGACCCGGTTTTGGACCCGGTCTGCTCCTATCTGGTTGGGCTCTAAGAGCATGCAAGCGATCTCGGTGGCGTCCTCACCATGAACAAGGCCCAGAGTCTGCACTGTCGGAAGCCCGCCTCCTCGGGCGCTCACCATTCTGGCAATCCTTTTAGCTGCAGAGACATCCGTGGACAGTAAGGGGACATTGTACAATGCCACCCATGGGCATGCCCCAATCATCGTGATCCCTCTTGCTCTGGATACCGAAGTTGGGCCTTCATTGGGCTTCTCCGGCAGAACTTCCGGCATGGTCCACCCGGCCCATTGGTTGCCCATGAAGTTGGGCCTATAGTACCCTAGCTCCCTCCTAATGGTGTCAAGTGCCTTCCCCGTTGGGTGTGCTGCAGCATACAAGTATACTGGCACTGCGAGTCACGAATCACCGTTTACAATATATATATATATATATATATATATATATATATATA